TTTTTGAGCTTCAATTCTGAGATGGAGATGGAATTTATGGATTTTATCTTAATGATGTCATTGATCGTTTTCCACGTGCATTTAGCAACACCTCGGTTGGTCTCAAGGAAATTGCGTTAAAACAGTTCTTTAGATTTCCTTTGCAAATCTACCTACATATTTCTATACTTTTTGAAGTAGACACGCTGGGATGTATTGCCCCTTAAAAATTTATTTTTGAACATATTATTTTTGTGTTTGATGGACATCCTAATTGCCCTAGTGATCCAAGGTTTGGGGTAAAGTTTGTTTTCTCTGCGTGAAAGAGGTCGTATGGCGCATGTTTGTTAATTAACCATTTTAGGCGACCAAGGATGTATCAAAAGAGTAATTGAAATAGTAATTGAAAGGTTTAGTAATCACAGAGAGATCATAGTATGACATGAGCATATCGAAATACACAGCAGTGGAATTACTATAGGTGTCGAGTAGGTTAATGTTAAAATTACCCAGTATTACAATTTTTTTTTTGTCATTGCAAGGTTTTCGAAAAGGCGACCCATTGCTAGGGTAAACGATTGTTTAAATATTACTATGTGGTTGATGAAATGCGGCAATGCGACCGATTTTGTAAAGTTTATGTACATTGAACAATATGTATATCTATTCCAAGCGATCCAGGAGTCTTTCTGAACCGGACATAAGTATTTGTCGAAAATAGTTTAGAACTTTCCTCAGACTACACGTTACAAAATAAATTTCTATACGTAAATGACCAAGAATAGGTATTTTTAATCCTTGCTACGTCATCCTAGCATAACATGCATGCCATCGAGTCATAAAATTACTAAAACTGAAAAGGTTGAATAGATATGAAAAAAACAATTCTTTTGAACGTTGATAAAAAATTAGGACAACCATAGTATTATGGTAAGTATTGTAGTAGTAGTATTGTAACTGCCGTCGCATTGCTAAAATGTCAGAAAGAAAAGTATATTAGTATACATTGGGGATTCAATTTTTGGCGATTGGAGAGTATCCGGAAAAGGTTTTATAGCCGATTTAACCTAATTTAACTTAAACATTTGATGAAATGTGTTGATTTTGGAGTAAGATTTTGGTGAAAATTACGATGCAAAATTTTTCATCATATTGAAGAGTTTTTAATTTTTTCTAATATAGCCTATATATAATAGAAGAACATACACCATGAGTATTCATTGCAGCTTAAGGAAGATGAATTCAAGTATTATACTTTTATTTTATTTTAGGTTTGCGCGAACTGATGGGAAGTTCATCACGATTCTGAATATTTTGTACATCACGTCATTATAATCATTACGTCAAAAAATCCACGTAGTGAAATATGCCAGCGATAAATATTATATTAATATACGTCGTTACTCGGCGCGTAAATAACTGCAACGTCACGCGTCTGGTGATATTATTTTCATGAAATCAAATCACGTGATCCTGTTTTTTGTTGTTCCTCGTCGATGTTTTCGAAAAAAAATCGTAAAGATGAATATTTTCATGTTGATAGTGGAAATTGTGCTTAAGTTTAGAGTGGTGTTGGATCCTGGGAATCCACTCCAATCTTTTTATGAGGGTAGTAATAGAGTTTTTACTTATGAGCCACCTAACTTTTAAGGCCTTTTTTAACGAATTAAATTTTGGATATAAAGTAACCCTTTTTAGTTACTATTTGTTTACAACTTGACTCTTCTACACATAAGTTCTATTCATTTGTATGTGTACGTGTGCTGACTCCGTTTAAATAAGCTGCATTATATTAATACAGACACTACCAAAATAAAATATCGCATATAGACATATAATTTGCAAACGTGTTACGGCCAAATTTCATCTAAACTGATCTATATGTTGGCTTGGAATATTGGTGGCAGACGTTTCATATATCAACATTATAAAAGTCTGCCTTTTTTAAATTTATTTGACATATTATTCAAAGACAGGAGTTGGAATTTGATATTTTTAGGCTTCGGAGCGCGCGCGTCAGACAGTTTACATGATTATGAGACATTGGCAAAAGTTGTTTGATTGAAATTAGATTTGCAATGTAAAAAATTATTTATTTGATAAACAAATGATCAATTGAAAATACAATATTTTGAACCCAACCATCATTTAACGTGACAGGAGTAGTTCCTTCCATCAGACAATTACATGATTAATGTGTCTGGTGAATGTGAAATTGGCTACATGCTGTCTTAATGAATACAATAATCTTTCAATATTGAATTTGGACAGCCGTCACATTGCTAAAAGGTCAGAAAGAAAAGAATATTAGTATACATTAGGGATTCAATTTTTCGCCTTCCGGGAGTATCCGGAAGAGATTTATAACGTATTTTTTTGAGCTAGCTAAAAATAAACCTAATTTAATTCAAACATTTGATGAAATGTGATGATTATGAAAAAAAATTTTGGTGAAAATTATGTTACAAAATTTTTGATCATTCCAAACAGTTTCTAATGTTTTCCAATATATATAATGGAAGAACATACACATTAGTATTCATTGCAGCTTAAGTGGATGAATTTAAGTATTATACTTTATTTTATTTTAGGTTTGCACGAACTGATGGGCACTTGGGCAAAAAATATTTTATATTACATTTTTATATGCATTTTACTTCAAATTTTTATTAAGCTGTCAGAGTCAAGAGTCGAAGGAGATTTTTAAATTTGTTAAAGCCATATAAGGGAAACAAAGAGTCTTAGAAAAATTTATAAATTTCCAAACATAAACTAACAATTTTCGAAGTATATCGATCATATAAAGAAGTCTTTGGTTGTCGTAATCAAACCTTGAACCGAAAACAACACAGCTAACATTGTTTGACACTACAAGGAGAAGTTTTATATGAAATTAAACAAAAAAGTAAAGTAAAAATATTGTCCAACAATAATTTTAATATTCATGTTATTTTTTTAGATCGCTAGGAACTTAATCGATAGTGGTGATAAAAATTTTGATAACTTCTCCTTCGATGTTATGTTTCTTCCCTGCAAATCTTGGGAGTTCTTTGTTGTTAGATTTTCAATCAACAATGAATTTCTTCTTTGATTTTTTCTTTCATGTCTTTCTTGCCTACACCATATCTTATAGAAGAATATAACTATTAAAAACACCTTTGCATATGTCTTGCCAAACCTGGGAATCAGAGAATATGTACATTCAACTTCGACTCCCTAATCTGATTTAAAATAACATAATCTCTTTCCATGAAATATCAAGTATATTTATGAGCTTTCGTTAGATCATAGTCTTCAGAAAAAAACGATAAGGCTGCAAATAATAAAGATCAGTATTTAGTTGAAAATGGAAGGATCAAAATTACAGAAATACATTATACATTGGTCGGTAGAGTCTATCTCTACTGTGTCAATTCAAAAATTGATACTGGGGGGTTTCCAAGTTTGTCCATTTGTATGTGTTCCAATGTTTGCATTTGAACTTTTTGTTTGTTGTGGTTTGTGTTTGTTTTGAAGTCTTTCTTTTGTTTTGTGCTTTATTAGTTTAATGTGACCCGCTGTTGCGTAATGACTAAAAATATACATTTTAAAGCATTAATATTCATAAAAGCCGCGGCCATAAAAAATGCGAGGCATTGTGTACGATCATATATTATTTCAATTCGTAATTCCTGTTAAACGATAAAATTGGTAAAGACAACCTAACACAATTTGTGCCGTAGGCACACCAAATTTTGCGACTAACAAAGTCTAAAATACATGTTATTATTGTCGAGGGTCTTCAAATACATAACTCGTGGTGTTTCCTTTCGGATTAATTTTAGCATTTTACAATGCTGTTTTCCAATAAAAAAAAAATGAATTGTGGATTCACTTCTTTATTATCTTTAGTATCTCGTCGTCGTACCTCGTTTTTCACAATAAACTCACAATTCCATGGGAGAACCGAGAAGTAATTAACATCGTACTCGTAAACAAGACATGTATATGTTGATGGAAATTTGTATTTATTTAGGGAGAATAAATACCAACGTGAAAAGGTTTACGGCCTAATGTCACTTGCTCATGTCTCGTCACCATAGAAACTGTGTTACGGTCGAGCTTCAGTTTAAAAATGAATGAATTCAAATTTATGTCAACGTTCCACGTGGGATATTAATTATAGCAAGCCATTGAATCTAATAGACATCCTTTATTAATGATGATATACGCCACCCCTACCAACAATATTCCATTCCTACATATAGTTTAGACGCTGTTGCTGCCACCGTCTAAATTTATTTATAACATTTTTGAATTCATCTCATCAATCAACAAAATATTAAAATTAAATATTAAAAGAAAAAAAGTTTGCTAATTAATTAATATTTTTTTTTTCAAGTTGAAATATTTTACGGTTGGAATAGCAAAATATTCAATTAGGAAAAAAGTCACAGAGGAAGCGTGTTGAATATAAACAAAGGAGCAATGCGGTGCAGTGGTTGCTTAAATACGTATTATATAAATAATAATAATATATAAATAAGTATTATAGATATAATTTATTTTAGGTTTGCACAAACTGATGGGAAGTTCATCACGACTCTGAATATTTTGTAAATCACGATAAATTTCGACCTAAATGCATCTCGTCCGTGACTATTTTTATGTATAGTACTATACATGGTTAAGGACATTAAGATTTAGAAAAAAAAAAAGACTTTATAAAATGAATCATCTTCTATGTATCTTAAAATATAAAACTATAGTATTTTGGGAAGGGAATTTATATAAATAGGTGATCTAGTATTGATTAAAGACACTCTAAGAATTATGTAAAAGTTTGACCAATGAAAAGAAAAAGTAGATATATAATTTATCCGTCAATATTAGATTTTAGATAGCTAGAAAAATATTTAATTTTAATGATTTTTCTTCTATCTATCTTCAGATATACTATTATAAATATCCCACATTATAAATTTTGCAGATTTTATTCATTCTAATAACAAAATAATATTACTGAAAAGTAGAAAGACAAGATGTGGATTGAAATATTTGAATATACAAATGTTTTAGCTGGCCTAACGGTCTTCATATTTTGGTTTTATTTGCAAAGAAAACCCAAAAACTTTCCTCCTGGTCCTCGAGGTCTGCCGCTCGTCGGTTACATTCCGTTCATGGCAAAGAATCCCGCAAAAACTTTTATGAAATTGAAAGAGAAATTCGGATCAGTTGTCTCTGTTCAATTTGGACAAGAAGATTGGGTCATTCTAAATGATTTTGACACCATTAACGAGGTTCGTTAGAAATGTTTTGAAAGTAGTATTATTCAATAAAAGATGAAATAGGGTCGTAGCCGTAGTTGTTTTGTAATTTTTCTAGGTAATTCTAATTTTTAATTCTAAAAATAAGCACGTTATGAGGTTTATGTCAATAACAACATTGCCATTAATTATAAAATATCAACTAATGCAAACCGATCTGTTTTTTTATGAGGCGTATTTATACATATTTCACTTCAATCAAGACTTTGTACAGCAGCTGTTAGGTAAATAGCTACTCTAGTTTGGAGAGAGAAAAATCTAGCCTACCACACACGCACATTTTCGCAAATTTCATTTAACAAAGAGTTACAAATGTATTCTTCAGGCATTTGTGAAACAAGGACACAAGTTTTCCGGGCGGCCCTACAATCTTTATTTCGAGCTGATAACCGAAGGCCGCGGGTTCTTTACAATGGATTATGGACCAACATGGAAAGCTTTGAGCAAATTTGGCCATGCCACATTGAAAGAGTAATATTTTATATCAAATTTTCTATGCCGAAAACAATTATTCAATTTTTATTAAATATATGCAAAATTGTATTATCTTAATTTAATGCTTTTATACCCATTTACTCTAAAGAAGGCTTTGCACAACATGTCACTACTAAATAAGAATCTACTATATTGTGGAAAGACCAGGTTTTTTCACGATTGACATCGTCTATGCAAATTATTACAACGTGGGTGACGTGGTTCTCATTCAATAAACTCTTAGGAAACGGATGATTTGAAAGACACATTCTTTATATAAGCAATAAATTCTAAAGGAGTGAAACGGTTTAAAATGTGAAAAGATAAATTAAAGTTTCGCTTATCACCTGGTCGAGTGGTATATACATATTGCATCTTACACATAAGAATAATTGTAAAAAGTTTTATGTCATTATGATACACTTTTATTTGTTTAATATTAACTAATTTGGCAGTTTTTTTTCTGAATTTTTTCAGTATGGGCGTGGGCAAGAAAAATATGGAAACAGGAGCTGTTGAAGAAACGAGATTCTTGATTGAGAGTTTGACATCGAGCAACGGAGAGAGCATTCGTGTAATAATATATAATACTTCGACACCCTAAAAGCTATGATAAAAATCTTTAGAACATTATGTATTTGTATTTTACCAACGCGCACTTTTTCATATTTTTGTATCGCAGTATCTTGTAACCTTGAAAATGATTGGGCGTAATGTGGATCAATAGATTGTTGTTGTTGTTCATATTAATGTTGGGTTATAACAATTTTTCTGATACCCATGGATTCCCATATTTGACTCAAAACTTCGATGCTATTTTTTAATTCATGACAACACTTTCTTATATAATATAGGAACATTCTTTGGGTGATCATTTCGGAAAACTTGGTGATCTGCTACCGCTAATATTTTACCGCACCGTTACCGATGCAAAGCCTCTGATTCCATGGTATTTTAGCATTTCTATATTGTTTCTTTAGATGAAATTGAATCTCGCGTTATCCAATATGGTTTGTGGGATAGTGTTGGGTTCCAGGTTCGATTATCACGAACACAAATTCAGGCATATTGTCGAGATGTTTATGAAACAGTAAGTATATATCTTAGTATATGCTTATTCCTGCTTATTGTCTTCAGGTAGGGTTGTATATTTTTTTCATTAATATTTCATCTAAGCAGGACCACGTGCATAAGAACCCAATGTAAGTAATTTATAGTCTTGTCCATGGGAAACATTTTTCCGTCCCATCTCTGCCAATAGCATATTATGATTGTTCCCTCTCACCCCATCGAACACCCCATTAAAATGACAATTCCATGGCCAATCTTGGTCACTAATTTTAGATAAGTAAAAGGTAGTTGCATATATTTAATTATTAATTAATGCAAAATTTGACAAACCAAGGGTAGCTCATAGGTAATCAAGTTTTTACCGGAAATGAAATCTGTGCCAGCTAGTAGTCCGTCTATGGACAAAATTATATGTGATTTTAATGGTTAAACAAGCGTTTTTAAACCGGCGTATCCAAGAATTTCCAAGGTTTTTAAGATTTCTAATTTTTCTAATTTCTAAATTAGATTGTAACAGCTAGCGTGTGTTTTCATATGTAATTAGGTCCTAAAAAGCGTTTCAAGCTATATGAAAAATTTCTGATACAGAAAAATGCTTTTTTACATTTCAAAGGGGGGGGGGGGGGGTTGAGACTTGAATACACAATATTTTGAAAAAAATGCATTTTTGCTTCAAAAACTGTCTAGAAACTGTTTGTTTCTGTATTGAAGTATATTACCGCATTTTGATGTATCCAAAGTCTCACCAGTTTTGCATTGTTAACACGAATATTATTTTCTGAATGATTTGTATCATGGATTTTACTTTAAATGTTTGTCGATTAATGACTACATAATTGAACGAATTCGTAACTTCTAATCTGCGAGTTTAAGGTACTGGTGAAAAAATAATTGGCTGAGCACAAATTTGTATTTGAGTTTGAAACTATTTACGTATGTATGTTTAAAAAATCCTGCCATTAGATTACTAGCGTTAATCAAACCATTGTATTAGAAAAATCTCGAGTGCGAACCGAATCCGATGTAAAATATTAAATAAATCCCGATCTCCAATGAATTAGTCTCAATGTAAAGCTAAGTAATGATTCACAAATTCTATCTCACTTAGGGGTTATTTCTTTTTTATTTTATTTAAAGGTCTCGAGTCACTTCTCATTCACATATGCTATTTGCTGTTTCCTTGGCTCCCTTTTTGCGTTTTATCCCTCCGTTCAGCAATGTTGTGAAAATTACATCTGACGAAGCAAAGTGTCTTATGGGTGAGATTTTTCGAAGTTTGTAACGATATGAAATTTATGGGTTTAATGTTTTTCTAGTTTGAATTGAAACATATACTTGAACCAATTCAATAGGTCCTGCTGCACACTAACACAAATATATTTCTGTAACGTTTTATCTAATTATTGTAAACTTTTTGTCTTAAAGTCTGACTTTGGGCAGATGGAACGTTACAGAAATACATTCGTGTTAGTGTGCAGCAAGAATCTTGAATTGAGTAGAATAGTCATATTATTAAATGTTACAGCATCCTTGCAGTATACTTAAACAGATTTAATAGCATAAAAACTTATAGGGTGGAATAAAAATTAGTCTCGCGCACCCCAACTCAAAGTCATTTTCGAACATTTCATATTTAATAAAGTAGAATATAGTAAATAAATTGTTTTACAAAACTATGTTGAAATCTAGCAAAGAAAGCAAGAGGAGAGAATTCGGCTATTGCGGATCCTTAAATTCTTGCAGTAATAAATGCACAGGAAGAATAGGAGAAATATTTAATGGGGCGACAATAAAAAAAAATTTATCTATTTTCATGTACGTTAACGCCGTTATGAACATAAACTGTCTGATTAGGATTTTATGCTTAATGGGGAAAAATACGGGTGTTGACCACGGTAAATAGATTGGCGGGCCGGGTTGTGACGGGCGGGCAGCCCGTTGCAGAGCCCTAAACCAATTGTCAACATCAAGTGGCTCCAATCGGGTTGCCAAACATTGAACAAACAAGATTCTGCTAAACCTATAAAGAATTGCTTCTTCCATTTCAGCGGAGGCTTGTACCGGAATTTGCCCAGGGTCGTCGTAAAAGTTGGGCGGGGCATTAAACAATGGCTCGTGCAAGGAATGTTTTCTACTGGACGTTAATTTATCGGAATTGCGTTATGCAAAAATAATACCAATTACATATATAATACAGTTTCCTGTTAGTTCTTGTTAGCAAAAGACGCATTTTTATCGTTTTTTTTGTGTGTGTTTGATGACGTCACTACAATCAAGTATTTTGCTTCCTGTGACGGCTTCGCCTTCGCATCAGAAGTCCTATGGTCCGACGAAGTCATGATTAATGGGTCCTGGTTGGCTACTGTGACAGACTTAGTACCCTTACTATTGCGTGTCCATATATTTGAGCATCGTTTTCTTGTTATTTATATTATACTTATTTATTGATTCCACCAGTAAATAAAGCAAAGAAAAATAGTATTCTATTTTTAGCATATCTACGTGATTTTGTAGAAGAACGCGAATCTAACTTTGATGATTCAGACATCCGGGACTTTATCGATGCTTTTCTGAATGAAATGAAGAAACAAGGAAAAGATGACGATGCTTTCAACGTAAAAAATTGTATTGCTCCGAATCCCACAGCCCTGTTTTATATGAATTATATAATTTTTTCTAGCCAGCTAAAACGGCAATAACAAGTTTTTCTTCATGTTTTTATTATTCTTGCAGAAAATTCAACTCATTAGATACGTTCGTGACCTTCTCCATGCGGGAACAGTTACAACTAGCGTTACCTTGACTTGGGCTTTGCTCGCTCTGGTCTGCTACCCGAAATGCCAAGAAAAAATAGTAAACGAAGTATTCGCAACTTTGGGTAATTTGATATTGTTGATAATGTTACTTAGTGATACAGTATTTTGATTAACTAAGCTTTCATAGTAGTCGATAATATATGTCATGAATAACAAGAGATCTTAAGCACACAGGAAAAAGTTAAATTGCCGTGATGTTATAAAATGAATGTTTGTTGTAGAAACTCCGAAAACAAAATTACTTTGGTCTTTTTAATTTATTTTTTTAATTAGAAGTTTTCCTGGAGCATTATCAAGCGCACTCATGCGGGTGCACTGGGCAGTAAACGAATTAGCGCAACTCACAGGGTGTGTAGGGTGGATAAATTATATATATATATATATTTTTTGATTACTTTGTGTTCTACAATAGTAAATATAAAAGACGTAACCTATAGGTTAGGACTTGGATTTCACTCAAAACACAGAAACAAGCTTTGTGCATCAGTACATACCATACCGATTTGACAAGGAAAAATTAGGTTTTGACATGACGCTACGCGATGCTTAGTTGTTTAATATTAATTTAAAGACAAGGTGTACAAATTTTTAATTACAAGGAAACTAATATAATTCATATTGTCATACATATCATTTTTATAACCTCATTGAAAAGGAATTGTATATAAGATTCGTTTTGCTGAATTGCTGTTGTCGCTGTTGTTGTCGTTAAAAAAATTCCAATGGTAAGACATTTGTATTCATCCTGCTTTACCGCCTTTGTCACGTGTTTCCGAACAAATAATATCAATACCATTCAATAGGTGAAACTTGAACATTCCCAATTTTTTCTTCTAACAGGTGAAGACGGTGTTCCTTCAATGGATCACAGAGATAAAATGCCTTACACCTGTGCTTTTATACAAGAACTAATTAGACATAAAATTTTGGCGCCTTTAAGTATATACCATAGGAACAACAAAGAAGCGAATATCAATGGATACACTATCCCGATAAATACAACGGTACGTATTTACCATGGGTTGATAATATTTTAGATTTTTTGAATGCTCAACAAATACAAAACTAAACAACCCAATGATAATACATAGTTATGTATTTTAGACTTTATTCTTCATTGTTAGTTTATACAGTAGGATTTTATAGCAAAACGTCGCCTTTGGCGGAAGTTGAGTTGATCTCATTTTGGGAAATTTTCTTTAGAAGTGTTTTTGGAGAAACCCATTCTCGACGACGTTAAATTAGCCATCTATATTCTAGAACTGAACATAGGCAAACTACGAGCCAAATTCGGCCTGCTGGGTATCAATCACGCCCGCCTGATGCTGCCAAAACCACACTAAAACCAAATTTTGTTGTTTTAGCTAAATATTAGTTCGATTACGATTAAATTTTTTTTTGCACAAGGCTTATTGCTTTTCACTTTTGTTTTTGCAACACTGAAGTTAAATATACCTAAATATAAAATTTTCCGTCACACTTACATGGCCCGCCAGTCTAGGTGGGCAAAATTTTTGACCACCAGGTCCAAAATCCTGACCCACTCCTGTTCTACAGCATAATTATTATCGGAGATACAGGAGCGCAAGAACCTATATTTGTACTGTATTGTTTAATCCGGTGGTTCCCAACCTTTTTTTTGCTCGCTACCCCCTTTGGTGGTTTACAAATATCGACGACCCCCTGCCTCACTTCCTATACTTATCAATAAAGTAAGCGGAAAAAGGAGGCGAGGTTCTTACCACTTCATGACAGCTGCTGCCACGAACGTAGCGATGGCAGCTCTTGTCGTGGTTATGGCGCTTTTACCGGTATATTCACAAAGTCGTGTACCAGATTTCAGTGCATCATGCTGAATTATATCTACTTATATCTATATCTACCTATATCTATCTATATCTACTCTACCTGAAACCTAACACCAAACCCATCAAAACTGTATTCATAAGAAAAAATGTTCCAACCCAACCCATATTTATTGCCATCAGGGACAGCCCTGCCAATGCAGCCGAAATGCCATGGATACGGCAGCAAAATTTCAGCCGCCTTCGGTTTTCAATTTGCTGCCGTGGTAACGACATCTCGCCATTGATTTGTACAGCTAAAAAGTCAGTCGCCTTGGGTTTGGCCATAGCGGCCATGGCCCGCGTGTTTCCGCATTGTGACGCGCGGAAATGCAGACGAGTTCGTGTGACGTCACAATGGTTAACATGCCATTAACACCTCGCGCCACTTGCTTGGTTTCCAAGCAATAACCGAATTCTGGGGTCTCACGACAGCTAGTGAAAATCTCTCGGAGGCAGACGAGAAACCATTCCAGACTTCGTCGCGTTATATTGCCAATATTTAACTAAAGTTTTGTATTGTTTTCTACTGTTTTGTCAGACCTTCGCGACTTCCCTGGAGGTCGCGACCCCCAGGTTGGGAACCACTGGTTTAATCCAATTGGAAACACCTTTAGCGGGTCTGGAATCTTTCGTCAACTTGTAACGACAAAATATTTAATCACACTGCAGTCAGTCGCACGCTCTCACAATTGAACTAGATAAGCAAAATCGAAACCCATCGATCGTTGAAAATATGTTTCTGTATTTCAGATTGTTCCAAACATTTGGGCAGTTCATAACGACCCCAAATACTTTGAGAATCCGAGAGAATTTCGACCTGAGAGATTTCTCGACCGCGACGGAAAATTCTGCAGATCATATCACGTGATTCCGTTTTCGATCGGCCTTCGACGTTGTATGGGAGAACCACTTGCAAGGATGACGCTATTTGTATTTCTAACGGGAATTATACAAAAGTTAAAAGTGTTGCCAGATCCTGTCAAGCCCCTTCCTCCATTCGATGGCGATGTAAATTTTATTATCTCATACGAGCCACCTCAGTTCGATGTTGTTTTTGAACGACGATAAAGTGTTTTTTGTTTATAAATGAAATATAAATATCGTGACCTAGTTATGAATTTATATCTCAAAAACAATAATAATTTGGAAAAACAGTTGAAATATTGTGCGCATATTTATAGGCTAATTGGTTTGTGATTGAGTGCAAGTCATATTTCCTCTTTTAAAATCAATCAAATACTCTTTAATATAACAATCAAAACATAGCAATTGATGTCATGGTTTAATAAAATGGACAAGCAATGCAAAACAGGAATGGTTTATATTTCTTCCAGATGTAATAGCTCAGATACTCGTAGCCTTGTGTTTTATTCGATGAACACAGCGCGTTTCCCTTGGATGATAAGATTAATATGTAAGAAGTTGGCATTATTTTAAATTTTGAAATATTTTCTTTTCGAGGTGAAAACACTTCAGAGTACAGATACTCAGTTTTTTAGGTCAGGTTTTTGAACAAGTTGCCGCATTCAAGATTTTGCAGCGACTAAAAAAACATCGTTAGCTACATACGAAACCAATGTAATAGCAATTATTAATCGTATAAGCAATAATTTTTTCGATTATAATTACAAAAGTGTTTAGTGGAATATAAACTATAGAATAATTAATCTTTTGGCCATAACAAAGGGGAAATTAACATATGATGGTGTCCTGGTGGAGCCATGACGGTTATTGGTACAAATACTATTGGAGAACTCGTGAATTCGTTTCCTTCAATGAACTAGCATTCGATTTAATAACGTTATTTCACTATATTTAATCAGCTTATGTCGTTGAAGTACAGTACACTTACAAAAAAAAGGAACCAATAAAAGTTCTGATTACTTCTACAAAACTTTTACATTTACTAAATTACTTATACACTTGAAATTATGTTTGTGTATGATTGTGGCCAAATAGTTCAGTATTCTAAGAAGCTTTGCACAAAAAATATGGTGTCTGTGATGTTACTAAATGGTTCTGTGTTTTGTGTTACCTGTTAATATAAGTTAATGTACGAATATTGAGAATCTATTAGTATTTTTTTGTGTCGTACAAAAGATAGGTAAGAAAGTTCTAGATGTAATTGGATATAAGACTAAATGTCAACCCCTTATATTCTATCCAATTAAAGAGTCCAGCTGCACACTAACACAAATTTATTTCTGTAACGTTCCGTCCGACCAGAGTCAGACTTCCTCAGACCAGCAGTTTACAACAATGGCAAGAAATAAATTTGATAAATAAATTTGAAATCTCAAATCAAGTATGACGTAACAATGCATAAACATTTAATTTGCATTTAGCCGTCGAAGTAATGATGGAAAAATTAGAACCACAAATATCAGTGAGGCTCATTTAGATGTGATTCAAAAAATTATTATTGCTTTCACGAAAATGTTGGGTAACTAAATGTAATTAAAATTAAGATTATGGGCACTTGAGAACAATGAAGAAGTAAACCAACATTTAAACGTGAATCAATGCTTAGTTTGGTGAGGACCAATTTTAAATTAAAATAAGATAAAAGTTATTGCAGAATTTCGATCTTAAATAGCGTTGAAATATGTTAATAATTCATAATAATAAACGAATGAATGAACCATCTACTCGAAATATGCTGAATTGCATATCATATGCTACACAACATAAATGAAGTGGGCTTTTCACAACTTCAGGAAGATATGATAATAACGAGTCGTTTTGTGCATTATTGCGGCTTTACTCGTACATTCTTGAATTTCTTGAATTTTTGATTTTACGAAATAAATAGGGTACATCTTTGTCCAAAAAATCGTGTACCAATTTACAAAGCTTACAGAGAAAAAGTAAGTTTACATAAGCGTTTTATTGATCAAATACTCAATGTCACACGATTATATGCTTTTATGATTCATAATAAAGGTTTTATTATGACTCACAAAGGCTTTCTATGCGATAACGAACAAACAAACAACAGAACGATCGACCAATCATAGCCTGGCCTGAATCGATGCGGTGACTTTTTCAAGAAAAATTCTTCTATCACGCACGAATGACTGGCGTTATCGGCACAGTCTTGGAATTGAAAAAGAGAAAACCATTACGCAGTCAACTGTATGGTCACATTTGAGCTTTACATAAGAATGGCTCGTCCAACAGCTGACAGAATGAGAGAGGTGAAAATATTTTTGTTATTTTTTGACGTTTCGAGAGACCTCATCAACACGGGTTTGAGTTTACG